GGTGAACAAGTATGAAATGAACCGATCCTTTTGAAACCAAAAAATATAACTCAAACAAAAAACCGGTTACTCCGGAGCAACCCAAATCACTATTATAAAATAAACAAACCGACATTACTTTAAAATTTCAAACGAAAAGCCCTAACACTTGGCCAATAACAAATCCAAAACACTTGATCCAAAAATCTTGAACCTTGAACCTCCAGTCTATACTCACAATGCTCGTGCGGCTTGCGACCTCGCCAATGCTCGTGCGGCTTCTCGCCTCGGCCTTCCTCTTCTCGAAATCCTCATCTGCTAACCCTTCCTCAACCTGGTGAGTGAGTAGTGGTCAGTCTCGTCATTAATTCCTAAGGTCTTGCCCTAAGCAAACCCTTACTAACACATTATTAGCAGGCTTCCTTTCTTAGAGGAAAGTCATTCTTGCTTTCATCCTTAATAACTTTATTTCAACACAACTCATATAAGGTCTTTACTCCTATCTTTATCTTATAGAAGTTCTCAACTTCTATCCTTAATACTTTATTCCGACATAAATCATAGAAATTCTCGATTTCGACCATTAACTCAAACACAAGACACTAGGACCAGCGCGTTACATCTCGCCGTCCGGTGTCCCTACTCTAGTATGCCAACCGCGTTACGTCTCGTCGTCCGGTTGCATACACAAACTTGGCAATGGGAATGCGTTACGTCTCATCGTCCAGTCCATGCACGATCAACTACTACGTTACGTATCGCCGTCCAGTAGTGACCCGGCCATCTACTACGTCTAGTAGTGGCCCAACCGCCCGGGGGTTCATCTTACCATCAACCACATACATTTATACACATACATAGCACAACACGTGTCTCCACCTTAAGTAGGCGGTGGGATGACTCACACACATAATCGCGCAAACTCATAAATTAACTAGCATAACTTGAATTAACGACATAAACTAAAATACCTCGACGAAGATTTTACCCCATTTACACTCACCTCGTAAAGTCGATCCTTCTTTATTGCCGGTTGACCCACGTCATCATCTGGGATTCCACGCTCAAACTCCTCGTGCTTTACCCCTTGCAATTTCTCCTATTAAGTATTTAGGCAAAACTTAATACTTATTTCTACTAGCGTTACTAGCCAAACGACCTCCAATTCGGTTAATTGCAATCCAAAATTCCTCCATTTAACCCTCACTAGGGTTCCCCATGAAATTCCGGAAAAGTACCCTTTCGCCCCCAAACTGGCAAATTACAAAATGGAACTCAAAATTCCTGAGTCTTATCAATTCGGCCCCAAATTTACAAAATTGCACAAATTAGTCCACCAGGCCAATTCCCATTTTATGATTCGTCCATTTGAGTCCCGTTTGGCCTATTTCAATTAAGTACTCAAACCTTTACCAATAACGACTTAATCACTGTCATGGTAAATTACCGATCGACGCCCAAATTTTCCAAAACTTACCAAACTTCCCTAGTACCCAAAAGACCCATTTGTCCCTAACTATTTATCCAATTTAGAAAACCATGTCATTTGGACTCCAATCAAATGGGAAGAAGGCCTTACCTCCATCCCGCCGTCGTCGACTCCCAAAACCTTCCTGCTCCGGCCGGCGTCGTCCTTCCCTCCATCAAGCTCATTGGCGGTCCATTCCTCCGGCTCCTCACCCTCCTCCTCGGACAGCATCACCCTGGGGATCAATTTTGCGAGAGACCCATTGCCGCCGCCGCAAAGTCCCTCACCTCTTCTCGGCCCACACATCGGCGACCAATGTCGAATTGTCGACACCTCAGGTCATCGTGGAGGATGAGGCCGTGTCCTTTCTAGCTCACCAACAGTCGTCGAATTCCTTGATCCACCTCTCCTTCTCCCTGGCGTAAACTTCTTCATGACTCGTTCTCCCCCCCCGGGGGGGGGGGGGGTCTCGTGGTTGCTTAAGCTAGCACCTCTCGCATATAGACGGGAAGAAGCTACCTCAGCTATACTACATGGACTTCCCAACCCCCACTTGTCTCCTACTAGCTTGGCAAGAAACAAGCTGCTCTCGTGTATGGGAGAAAAACATACAAGTCTCCTATATATGGAAGGGAAGTAGATCTCGTGCCACGGAGGGATATTTTCAGGTGCCCTTTATTTTCCTTGGTCGATTTACATTTCCCTCTTCATTAACTTCTCAATTATAACCAATTAAACCCTCCCCTTAAAACTTCTTTCGGTTTCGCCTTGCAATTGAGGATAACCGTCCCGAAAATCATCCATCTTCCCGTTCTGAGTTCCGCTGCGGCTGCGACTCTGTTTTCTTTCTCCCCGGTAGTAGAGGAGGATTCATTTCCAGCGAACGAGCCTTTTCTTCCACCCAGGCCCAAAAGACCGCCTACAAAGCTCTAGCAACTCGAACCTCGGCACACTCCACCCTGCCTCCTTTTAATTACACCCAATCTGCCTGCCCATCGTGAGTCAAGGTCAGCCCAATTATCAGAGCCCACTCATCTTAGGTCCTTGATTGGTTCTTGATTCAAAACCCAACTCACATTCCTAACTTCCTCGATTTAAATCGGAATTCAACGCTGCCCGAACCGTTAGTCCTCATTTTTTTGTCCTCGTAAATATTATGATGGAATTTGACAAAATTATAGTCATTTAGACTTTTAGGAAGAGCGGGGTGTAACATTTCCTCCATCTATATAAAATTTCGTCCCCGAAAGTTGCTCGAACTCATTCTTCCGTACTCCTCATTCTCGTACTTCTTTGGCTCGAGAATTTACTCTCGCTATGATGATGTCTGTTTCTTGTCTCATATAATTTACCTCCCTTCTTATATTTCCTCTTGATCATAAAAGGTATTCTCACCTATCTCGTTAGCATCGAGTAGCTTTGAGTGGCTACTTGCCCTTTTTAATTCCCTCGCTCAGTCTAGGGTGTAATGGGACAAAAATTATGAATCAATTTACGGTCCAACTCATTTAGTACTTGTTGCTGGACCTTAAATCAAAGTCGAGGTATCACATTTCCTCCCCTCATTTTAAAAAAATTCGACCTCGGAATTTGTCCCTTACGACTTCACCAAGCCTCATACTTTGCATCGTTTGTATTGATGTTTAGCTCCCTCATTGCCTTGCTGAAGTACCCTTAGCGTTGCTTATAGTCTAGCCTCCTCTACTCTTTGGGTCATAGCCCTACGCTCGACCTTCGCAAACTCAACGAACCTTCCTTGCATCCTTTCCGCTATATTACGGTTGTCATTTGCTTCAACTTCTTGGCTACTACCTGTTGACGTACTAATACTTGGCTTCTTCCTAATCCTTATTCAGATTTGCTCGCATCCTCGTAGGATATGAGCTGCCTTGAATCCCTTCTTCTCACTCATGAACAGGTTTTCACTAAACGATCCCTCTAGGAACCTGTTCCTTCTCCTTCCCGAGACGTATCATATCCCCGTAGGGGCATCCTAAATTTATTTTCCTAATCATGATTAGAGTATACTGGAGATTCTAAAAATCCTCAAAAGAACCCTGACTCGTTTGACCAAACCTTAAACTTGACTAGGGGTGGGCAACGGGAAACAGGTATTTGGGTATATCCATACCCGTCCCATTTTTTTTAGGGTTACGGGTACCCAAATACCCATAATTTTTTGTACGGATGGGACTTGGGAACAAGAAATTTTACAATGGGTACCCGCGGGTTACCCGTTTAGGTATTATGGGTACCCGTACTACCCGTGATACCCGCTCATAGTCCAGTCCTATAACTAATTTTCTACTCGCATATCATGGATTCTACAAGATCCTTATAGTAAAACTCGGCCAATTCAAATTTACAAATGCCAGCCATGGAAATTATACCCTCCCACTCTGTTCAATACAATGATGTACGGACTACTAGGTATTGAGAAAAAGAATTGATAGCTTTGTTCCATTGCAACTTGTATATATATATTTTAATTTCTTTATGTTGGGCAAATTTTGTTCGATTATTTCTATTGCTCCTCATTTCCTTATTCATTTCTCCAACACAGGAAAGGAGAAAGCCGCAGGCTATGGGCACCCGCGGGTACCCGTTATCCATCCCGTATGGGTAATGGGTACCCATTAACACGTACAGGTTTGGGACATTGGATTAGGGGTGGGCATTCGGTCGGTTCGGTTTCGACCGAACCAAAATGCTGTATGTCGGTTCGGTTTCAGCCCCAAACCCGAACAAACTTTCCTTCCTCTTTGTAAATTTTGGACCTGTTCCCATTCCAAACTATTATTGCCCCCTCTCTCATCCCGTTCAATTTTCCTTCTCCATCTCTCATCTCCTTTCTTCCACTCTACCTGCACACACAAAGCACTAAAATCTTCTACAAAAAAAAACAAAAACAAAATGAACATGTGAGGGAGCTCAGGGAAAGAAGGATGCGGTTGCAGGCATGATGGCGGGGAATAGTGACGATGAAGAGAAGACAGGGGACTGTGGAGGACGTCGTCGCTCCTCAAGGCCGAGCCCGCCGCCATCGTTGGTGCCGCTCCTCAAGGCAAACCCGCCACCGCCGGATCTACTCTTCTTCGCCTTCTCGGGTAATTATCATAAATGGTCATAACCTATTCACTTTGTACAAAATGGTCATAAACCTTCAATTTTGCACATTTCAGTTACAAAAGTTTCGGTGAATAACAAATTGGTCAATCCTTCCACTTCCATCCAAAATTCCGTTACCTCTTGCCTAATCAGCCTAACACATCATTAAAAATATTAATAAGAAAATGAGTAAAGATAACCAATTAACCCGCCCAACCCATCTCGAATTACCGAAACCATCGCCGCCATCATCCTCAACAACATCACCGCCGCAGATATGATCGAGAACAAGCACCAATCCCATGGCGAATGCCCCGTCGAACCCAGGCTTCACCGCCAACGATAACACGTCCTTCCCCATCACCTTCTGCCGGATCTTCGCACGACCGCTCTCCTCGCCGCGTCGATCACTGTACAGCTTCGGCTCCAGCAGCTCCCTTCGATCTCATACTCCTCCCCTGGGTTCTTGTACACCTGCACGCTCATCCCTGAGTGTCCGATTATTGAAGACCGTCTCACGATGAACATTGCCTTCTGCCCTTCCTTCCTCTCCCCCAAAAATCCTTCCCACCGCTGATGCAGACTCGACTCTGCCAACCGAAAAACAGAGGGGAAACAAAGAAAATTGATTCGGAAGGTCCTGACTCGGTAATGAGATACTTAGAGTGTGTATTGTTCTTGTATTGGTTTACCTTCTTTCGGAAAGTGATTAAGCAGCGGCCGTGGGGACCCATGAGGACGAGCTCGTCTCTGTCCCAGGCGTCGGGCTCGCACGAGTCGACCCGGATCGGAAGACCAACTCGCCGTTGCTGCAATCGTACACGGTGAATCCGTCATTGGCATAGAGCAACGAGGTTTTGAAAATGGTGAAATGCTTCTCTTCCCGATTCACGAATCCCTCGTCGTCAGCAATTCCTCTGTTTATTTCCTTCATTCGTCGATGGGAGATCGGAGCAATTGGAGTTTAAAAATAGGACGGAGTCGGCCGAAATTGGGAGAGATGTATAGAAAGAGATAATGCGGAGGGAAGGAATAGAGAGGGAATGAAGAAGATTGTAGCAGCTTCAGCACAAGGTCACTGTTAATTTTAGTGCTAATAATCTTCTTCCACCTCCTCTTCTGGGAATGGCGACTGGGGATATGGCAGCGAAAAAGAAATTTTTTGGAATGGTGGGATAGCGAGATGGGACGGTGGTGGTCCAATACTTGTGATTGGTCGTTAGGTTAATGACGTGTCACGCTGACTAGGTAAGAGTTAACAAAATTTTGGATGGAAGTGGACAGATTGACCAATTCGTTATTCACTCAAACTTTTGTTACTGAAACATGCAAAATTGAAGGTTTGTGACTATTTTGTACAAAGTGAATAGGTTTATGACCATTTATGATAATTAGCCTCGCCTTCTCCCTTTCTTTCTCCTTCAGATCTGAAAGAAGTATTGGGCGTACTGCTTCAGACCCTCTTCTCCCGCTGGCGACGACATCGAAGGCGAGAGATGGTGGTTGGTAGCTTTGCCTGCATGTCAGCAGTGCCATTGAAGAGGAGGAATCCGCCGTCGCCGATCCCTCCCAGGATCTGTATTCGCCTCATCGAAGGAACTCAGGGTAGGTTGAGGTTTGAGGAAGAGGTTGAGGCCTGAGGGTTGGTGGCGGCTGTCGTATAAGGTTGTGGTTGACTAGGCTTAGGGTTGTGTCGAGTTGGGTGGGCTCAGCTGAAGGACTGACTGTGTAAGTTGTGTTGTCAGTATGTGGGCCGAGATGAGAAACTGGGCTGGGAGGGTGGGCTTGGCTATATACGGTTTTTCGGTCGGTTAATCGGAATTCGGGTTCGGTAGTGCATACCCTGGGTTCCAAAATATAGAATTTTGGCTTCCGAATTCCGAACCAAATTTATAGTGTTCGGTTTTGGTTTGGTTTTACTCGGTTTCGGTCTGGTTCGGTTCGGGTTTACCGAACCGGATGCCCACCCCTACATTGGATGGAGTTTTCTCTTCAAATGGGATTGGGTACCCATTTCAAACGGGACGGGTAGCCAATCCCGTAACGTTGCTCACCCCTAAACTTGACACCCCTTTTTCCTTTCCTTTAAAACCAGAAATCTTGAAAACTCAGATCGTCACTGTAGTATTCCTTGGAGACCAAGCAACAGAGGAGTACCGACTCTTACACCAAAATGAAACAATCTTATACTTTTGAAACCAAAAACCATAACTGACTCGCACAAAACTATCCCACAAATAAATCCCGACTAGAGCCCATGTTTTTAAACTCTAGCCGGGTGCAGTATAGAGCAAGTATTTAAATTGTCAACTCAGACCAGTCCATGTACCCCTACTTCAATCGCTCAAGTTGTTATCTAACTAAACGGTTTTGGGTTTTCAAACTAAGAAAACAACAAACTAAACAAGCAAGGAAAAGTAAATAAAGAAAAACTCTAACTAAGGGAGCTTCACCCGGGATTTGCTACCCCCTAACTACCTGGAATGCCTCGTTGGATTGAATGGAGTCTGTGGCGTATGTGGTTGTGAGCCGCGGGGGTAAGCAACTAGTGATCGATATGTCATGGAATCAAATCACTAGCGATCGATTTGTCACGGGATCGATCCACTCACCAAATCTAGGGGAACCACTAGGAGGAGCAACTAGTGATCCATTTGTCACGGGATGGATTCACTAGAGTTCGATTTGTCACGGGATCGATCCTCTCACTCAGTCACTAGTGGTTGCCTAGGTCTCTCTCTCAAACCGGAGTTTGAGCGACTTAATCACAACCAACCTAGATGCAAACTGGTAACCGCGAATCGCAGAGTGATGCAATTATGGTCGTAGACCACAATCTAGATTGCTAGACCGAGGTAAACATTAAAGGCCGTGTCACTCGACCCTCTCGATTTAGGCAATCGGTAGTTGACTTATTCCCTCACTCAACTCAAAGGTCGGACGGCTTAATCACGATAAACCGATTTGCTTAATTCAACATTGAGGATTGCCCTAAATTAACCTGTTTAGGTGGCTGGCTTAAAAAGCTGAAGTAGAACCAACTCGATTGAGTCTCCTTGGAAGGGGGATTTTCCTCTCTAAGCTAGGTTAAGGTGGCTAATTAGATTTCTAGCACCAACATGCACAAACCTAAGGGTGCTAAGCACAATTATGCACAATCCTAAGGTTGCTAAGCACCAAAATGCACAAACCAAGGATGATAAGCACAAAACATGCACAACCCTTAGATTGCTAAGCACGAGCATGCACAATCATCATAAAAACACCTCTAATACTCAAATTGATGCAAACCCACATTTGATTATTCAATCTAAACAAGCAATTATAAAGTATTAGTTAGGGATCTACACCACCCAAGAGAAAAGAGTGAGTTTCTAGAGAGAGAGAGAGATTACAAAATTGAGCTCAAGATCTTCTTCTTCTTCTAGGCTTGAATCATCCACCCAAGCCTCCAATGATGCTCCAAGATCACACTAGCACTCTCTCTCTAACTAGAACTCCCCTTTGGTGTTTAGGTTGAAACCATAGAGAAAGAAAGTGTTTCTTCTCCAAAAACCAGCTCTCTTTTCTCTCTCCATGCTACTGTCTTCATATTTGCCCGAAAGTGATCAGTTCACGGACGCGTTGGCCAGTTCAAGGCCGTGAACACCTAAACGTGTCCGTGAACTCAACGTCATCTAAAATGCACCGCTTCACTGTCCTGGGTTCACAGTCAATGGCCCCAGTTCACGGTCTTAGAGACCGTGAACTGCCTTGTCGTCGGTAACTTCTGGAACCTCGCTGGACGCCTCGGTGTTCACGGTCTTAGGAGACCGTGAAATGCCTCGTCCGGCCGTGAGCTGCTGCTGTTTCCTGAAACGCCTTCACTTCACTGTTACGAGGCAATTTTCACGGTCGCTTTGGACTTTTCTTCGATTTTCGCGCTTTTTGACCTCCTAATATCCCAAAACTCATCCTCGACCCTTCCACACGTGCTAGGACCTGAAATGTATCAAAACAAGCACAACCTAGCGTGAAATATGTCAAGGAATGATTAAATACTAAGCTAAACGAATAAGAAATGAGGGGTAAAATGTGTACATTTGAGCCCGAATCACGCCCCCACACTTAGACGTTTGCTTGTCCCCAAGCAAACAAAGTACAAAACAAGGTAAGCTTACAAATTGTTTTCCAACACAAAATTTTGAGGCATGTCATAAGGCACAAAACGAATGAATCACAATGGTTATTTGACACCGACCTATGGACAAAAACAAAGTAATCTTGACAACCACCACAAACAACATTCAACTGTATTAAGATTGTACAAAAGAGGAGTTCTCACATTATTCATCAACCAACACACAACATGCCTCGACGACTCACCAATCACAGTTACTCATGTATGAAGATCACATCATAGGAACGAACGATCGAGCAACCTAGGTCCTCACCGGGGTAAAAGAAATGAACAAAACATTATGAAGAATCACTCACTCTCGACCAGTGGGGTCAGGACCATTTGATGCAAAATATGTGCATATTCACGCTCAATCCTAACGTCCCTTTACCATGATGATAGCCTCTAAATGTTAGAGCTCACAAGATGAGTGTCGTTGCTAGCTTATCCGGAGGTCTTGGACACAGGTTCAAATGACTGGCTAGGGTCTAGGACATGGGGAAAAGGCTTTTTGGGTGGTGGCAAACATAGCACAAGATTCCACATTTCCATCCTAAAACCACAACAGGTTCCAAGGTTTCGATTAGAACCCTCTCCTATACTCAATGGCCACTAGCATCGGCCAAAAACCACACTTCGCTCGATTCCAAACCACAACCAATCACCAAACCATCCACAACAATCTTTCTTGCTACCTTTGCTATTCAATTTCAAGCACAAGAGTGCGGTAGGCAAGCAACATGTAAGTGTTCCTAAAGCTTGCATTCTAAGCAACACTTCTAAGAGCATGTTCAACAATTATTATATTTTTTGTGGCCACTCTCTCTTCTTCTTTGCCCTCTTATTGATCTCTTTTTTTTCTTCTTTCCTTTGGGGGCTATAAAGAGCTATATACACATGCCACGTTTTTTTAACTTAAGGAATAATGCTCACTTTGAAAAACTACCTCCACACTCACTTCACTTTTTAGCAAGACCATACACAAATCACTAATGTGGAACCTCGTTTAAGCTCAAATGTTATGAATGGAGCTTCCAAACACAAGGGTGACTCCATAACGGTGTAGACATGAAGAAAGTAGGGTCGTTCTATCTAAATCAATCAAGCTCAAGTAGCGAGAGCTACCTAAAACGAGAGCGACCCTTACACACACGAATCAAAAGGGTTGACTAGGGGATAATGAGATAGGGACGATCAACATTTGGGTCGTGAACTAAACCTATGCCTCCATCTTCATCGCTAGCAACAACGTGAATGCTACACATCATGTAAAGGGGGAACTATCGCACAAGAACAAAACGAACGACACAAGTCTCACATGGCTACCTAGGTGCTCAATTTCGGTTATGGTTGACTAGGCTTAGGGTTGTGTCGAGTTGGGTGGGCTCAGCTGAGGGACTGACTGTGTAAGTTTTGTTGTGAGTATGTGGGCCGAGATGAGAAACTGGGCTGGGAGGGTGGGCTTGGCTATAGACTACCCCCCCCCCCCCCCACACACACACACTTAAGCTCGACATTGCTCTCAATGGCGTAAAAGAAGGGGATATAACGATGTTACCGGTCAAGTTGTGAATGTTTGTGCTTGGGAGCGGAGGGCAGGTGAGGTCCGGAAGAGCAAGGAGACGGTAAAACACCACCAAAATCTCTTCATTGATCGTCTTATTGAAAGGAAAAGAGATGCAAA